TTCTCTGTAGGTTGCTTCCCTTATAAACACTGGGCACACATGGTTGTTTATCTTCTCTGTATTTTGCTTCCCTTATTAACACTGGGCACACATGGTTGTTTATCTTCACTGTAGGTTGCTTCCCTTATAAACACTGGGTAAAAATGGTTGGTTAGTGTCACTACTTTGGTTACACACTAGATAATTAGTTTGGAGAGAATGGTATATTAGAGAGGATCTGGCTGACACTCAGTACTCAGAGAAAAGGCAAGATGGACATGCAGTCCGACTGCCCCTAGTACAATGGTATTTGTGCTGAAGATATAGATGGAGCACTTATGGGAATGTCCGGAGTGGTGTAATGTCGGTTCTTACTCATCATATAATATTGTTTTGTCCTCTCTCTGACCTGGTCATTTGATGTTTTGATAGCTTGTGTCACTGCAGTTGTCCTTCTGCCGGAAGAGCCAGCACAGACAGGACCACCTCTCTCAGGTCAGTGCAGTCGGACAACAATGACATGTTTCTGTCCTCAGCTCATTGAAGAAACTAGGTTATATCTTCTGTTGTGACAGCAATGCTGACTATAATAATTTTATTTTTCCCACAGCAGTGATGTCTTAGTTATTTGTGTAATGTTGTGTGACAACACTGGTGACTTTTAGTTATTTGTGTAGTGTCATGTGACCAGTATGGTAATTTTGGTTATTTGTGAAATGTCATGTGACAGCAATGGTGACTTTTAGTTATTTGTGTAATGTCTTGTGACAGCAATATTGTGATTTTGGTTATTTGTGTAATGTCATGTGACAGCAATGGCGAGTTTAGTTATTTGTGTAATGTCATGTGACAGCAATATGGTGATTTTAGTAATTTGTGTCATGTCATGTGACAGCGGTAGTGACTTATTTATTTGTGTAATGTCTTGTGACAGCAGTGATGACTTTAGTTACTTGTGTAATGTCTTGTGACAGCAGTATGTGACAGCAGTGATGACTTTAGTTACTTGTGTAATGTCTTGTGACAGCAGTGATGACTTTTGTTACTTGTGTAATGTCTTGTGACAGCAGTGATGACTTTAGTTATTTGTGTAATGTCTTGTGACAGCAGTGATGACTTTAGTTATTTGTGTAATGTCTTGTGACAGCAGTATGTGACAGCAGTGATGACTTTAGCTACATGTGTATTGTCTTGTGACAGCAGTGATGACTTTAGTTACTTGTGTAATGTCTTGTGACAGCAGTGATGACTTTAGTTACATGTGTAATGTCTTGTGACAGCAGTGATGACTTTAGTTACATGTGCAATGTCTTGTGACAGCAGTGATGACTTTAGTTACTTGTGTAATGTCTTGTGACAGCAGTGATGACTTTAGTTACATGTGTAATGTCTTGTGACAGCAGTGATGACTTAAGTTACTTGTGTAATGTCTTGTGACAGCAGTGATGACTTTAGTTACATGTGTAATGTCTTGTGACAGCAGTGATGACTTAAGTTACTTGTGTAATGTCTTGTGACAGCAGTGATGACTTTAGTTATTTGTGTAGTCTAGTGTCAGCAGTGATGACTTTAGTTATTTGTGTAATGTCTTGTGACAGCAGTATGTGACAGCAGTGATGACTTTAGTTACTTGTGTAATGTCTTGTGACAGCAGTGATGACTTTAGTTACTTGTGTAATGTCTTGTGACAGTAGTGATGACTTTAGTTACTTGTGTAATGTCTTGTGACAGCAATATGTGACAGCAGTGATGACTTTGGTTATTTTATGTAATGTCTATTGACAGCAGTATGTGACAGCAGGGATGACTTTAGTTACTTGTGTAATGTCTTGTGACAGCAGTGATGACTTTAGTTATTTGTGTAATGTCTAGTGACAGCAGTATGTGACAGCAGTGATGACTTCAGTTACTTGTGTAATGTCTTGTGACAGCAGTATGTGACAGCAGTGATGACTTTAGTTACTTGTGTAATGTCTTGTGACATCAGTATGTGACAGCAGTGATGACTTTAGTTACTTGTGTAATGTCTTGTGACAGCAGTGATGACTTTAGTTATTTGTGTAACGTTTTGTGACAGCAGTGATAACTTTAGTTATTTGTGTAATGTCTTGTGACAGCAATATGTGACAGCAGTGATGACTTTAGTTACTTGTGTAATGTCTTGTGACAGCAGTGATAACTTTAGTTACTTGCGTAATGTCTTGCGACAGCAATATGTGACAGCAGTGATGACTTTAGTTATTTGTGTAATGTCTTGTGACAGCAGTGATGACTTTAGTTACTTGTGTAATGTCTTGTGACAGCAGTCTGTGACAGCAGTGATGACTTTAGTTATTTGTGTAATGTCTTGTGACAGCAGTATGTGACAGCAGTGATGACTTTAATTACTTGTGTAATGTCTTGTGACAGCAATATGTGATAGCAGTGATGACTTTAGTTACTTGTGTAATGTCTTGTGACAGCAGTATGTGACAGCAGTGATGACTTTAGTTACTTGTGTAATGTCTTGTGACATCAGTATGTGACAGCAGTGATGACTTTAGTTACTTGTGTAATGTCTTGTGACAGCAGTATGTGACAGCAGTGATGACTTTAGTTATTTGTGTAACGTTTTGTGACAGCAGTGATGACTTTAGTTATTTGTGTAATGTCTTGTGACAGCAATATGTGACAGCAGTGATGACTTTAGTTACTTGTGTAATGTCTTGTGACAGCAATATGTGACAGCAGTGATAACTTTAGTTACTTGCGTAATGTCTTGCGACAGCAATATGTGACAGCATTGATGACTTTAGTTATTTGTGTAATGTCTTGTGACAGCAGTGATGACTTTAGTTACTTGTGTAATGTCTTGTGACAGCAGTCTGTGACAGCAGTGATGACTTTAGTTATTTGTGTAATGTCTTGTGACAGCAGTATGTGACAGCAGTGATGACTTTAATTACTTGTGTAATGTCTTGTGACAGCAATATGTGATAGCAGTGATGACTTTAGTTACTTGTGTAATGATTAGTCCATAAGGGCTCGGACCCTCCTCCCCAAGTATATCCTGTAGTGACCCACGTTTTTATATTGTTTTCTCATTCTTCTTCAGCTTCCTATATAGTGCTCTTGTCTGGTCACACCCCTTTTAATATGTTGTTCTTGCAGTTTGTTCATGGTTGCAGATTCACAGTCATCACGTGGTTGTCGCTGACGTGTAACTTCTCGTAAAGCATTTTGAATATCGGCCTAGTCTATGGCTCGTCCACGCTACACAACAGTAGCTTTACTAACAAGTTTATCAGCTTGCTTATTTTCTTTATGCCTTGGCATGAATATGAAACTGATATTTGTCAATCCTGACCGCTTCAGAGACTGCAACCACTGTCTTCAGACCCAGCCCACGTGTGTCTTCCTGAGCCTACTAATTGAATCACTGAGAAAGTTGAAAGTTTGTGTCTCCAGCCTGGGTCACTGCTATGATTTCCATAGTCAGACTACTTGTAGATAGGGCAACAGCAGCAGAGAAGCCAGAACATTGTGACATCCACCTGAACCAGGTGACAGGGATGTTTGACATACACCACAACCAGGGGACAGGGACGTTTGACATACACCACCACAGCTGATGCACAGTTGCATGTATCACTACCTAGCATATGGCTGAGGGAGGCAAGCAGCTGCACTGGAATGATATCAACAATCTTTCTAGGGCGATGACCAGTTAGCTAGTCACCTGTGTGTATATATATATGGTATAGAACATAATCAATCAGCAAGTCCTTTACAGAACTTCACTCTCTTCACTGCATCCCTGAAAGTATCCCTCTCCCTAGTCAGCTATCCAACCCCATGGGCTTTCAATGCCAAGCCACCATGATGCTTGATGTGGCCAGAATACTTCAACTTTCGGGACAGGATGTTGTTTATGAGCCAGTTCTCCCTGATGTTCACCTCGTATAAAATGTCAATGTTTTTCTTCTTCCTGATCCATGGTATTCTAAGAATTTTTATGCAACATTTCAATTCAAAAGCTCCAATCTTTTTCCTCAAGGACTGAGTGACAGTCCAAGAGTCACAACCGTATGCCACAGGAAAAATGCATGATCTCAAGATTTTTACTTTCAACCAATTTACTAGTGCTTTGCCATAGGTCCTTTGTTATTTAATCTCTGCACTGCCAATGCAAGTCTTCTTCTGACCTCTTTTGAGCAGTTGCCACTGTTGTTCACTAAATAACCCAAGTATTACAAATCTATTACATTTTCTATTTTTTCATTGTCGATTATGATACGTGGTTGGTGTGCTGTATTTACTGAGGACATAATTTTTTTTTAAATTTGGAAACAGATTCACGTCTTTGCTGTGTTTTTGACCAACAGAATTAATTTTTCTAAACCTTGCATATCTGAGTTCTGGGATAGGATTACCTCCAATTTTTAGTGGATCAAAGCTCTTACATGCCTCATCTGTAATTGCGTTTCTCATAACATGTTCAGCATTTATGTTAAAGAGGGAGGGTGAAAGTATGCAGCCCTGTCTCACTCCTTTCTGCACCTAACCATTCTGATGTCTCACTAGCTATTCTGACAGCTGCTTTTTGTTCGTGGTAAAGAGATTCCATTAAGTGCACCAGATGATTTGGAAATCCCATGCCTGATATTATATGCTATAGTTTATGGTGCTGCACACAATCAAATGCCTTGCTGTAGTCTATGAAACAAGTATGAAGATCTATCTTGTATTCTCTACACTTCTCTAGGATGATTCTTATATTGAAAATAGGGTCTCTTGTTCCCCTGCCACGTCTAAAGCCTGCTTGTGTTTCTTGTAGTTCATATTCAAATTTATTCTCAATCCTCCTTAGAATGATATGCAGAAGGACTAGAAGATGTTTAAAATAGGGACATATACATGTGTCAGTTTGTCTGCATTCTGAAAATACAGTAAAGAGCTATAGCTGATGCTCATATGTGTGTTGTTTGCAGCTGGTGCTAGTGCAGACATCATTGACAGTCAATCTCAGCAGTTGTTGGAACATGCAGCAGCAAGGTATAATGTTGGCTGTGTGTTTACTTTGTGGCCTGACAGGCACAGTTTTCATCTGTTGATTTATTATTATTGGGTTGACAGAATTACATACAACAGCAGTTTGTGTTAATTCAACATTACTACAGTTTTATAGCTGCACTACACAGCATTCTGACTTCTCATGGCAGTAGAGTTTTATAGTTGCATGTGGCAGTAGAGTTTTATAGTCGCACGTGGCAGTAGAGTTTTATAGTCACATGTGATAATAGAGTTTTATATTCGCACGCGGCAGTGGTTTTATATTTGCACGAGGCAGTAGAGTTTTATATTCGCCCGCGGTAGTAGAGTTTTATAGTCGCCTGTGGTAGTAGAGTTTTATAGTCACCCGTGGTAGTAGAGTTTTATAGTTGAACCTGGCAGTAGAGTTTTATATTCGCCTGTGGCAGTAGAGTTTTATATTTGCCCGTGATAGTAGTTTTATTGTCACCCGTGGCAGTAGAGTTGTATAGTCACCCGTGGCAGGAGAGTTTTATATTCGCCTGTGGCAGTATTGTTTATACTTGTACATGGCGTCAGAGTGTTGTCATTGCACTTAATGTATGACTGTTCTAATTGCCCATAGCTGAAGATTGTTGGAGCTGCACATAGATCAAATGTTTTTACCTTATTTTAGAGTTTAGTAATCATAAAGAAAAACATCAGTGACTTAAGTTCCCACAAACACTGGCGGGTCAGTTATTCGGTACACACCCATCTAGAATCATGCATGGGTCCTCATTTTCAGACCACCGAGTGACAGTTTCCACAAACACTGGTGGGTCAGTTAGTCGGTACACACCCATCTAGAATCATGCATGGGTCCTCATTGTCAGATCACCGAGTGTCAGTTTCCACAAACACTGGTGGGTCAGTTAGTCGGTACACACCCATCTAGAATCATGCATGGGTCCTCATTTTCAGACCACCGAGTGACAGTTTCCACAAACACTGGTGGGTCAGTTAGTCGGTACACACCCATCTAGACTCATGCATGGGTCCTCATTGTCAGACCACCGAGTGACAGTTTCCACAAACACTGGTGGGTCATTTAGTCAGTACACACCCATCTAGAGTCATACACCCATCTAGAGTCATCTACACACCATGGGTCCTCATTGTCAGACCATCCTGGCAGACCCTTTTTATCATCAGATCAGTAGCTCATGATGTGGTAGATTGGTGCAGTCTAGTGACTGATGCCTCCACTAGATAGAAGACTGTGACTAATTGGAGCATGGAATGGAATAAAATGTTGTGTGTGATAAGACATCAGTTTGCTTCAGTTTTGTCCATTACCAGTGTTACCATGAGTTGCTGTCTGTTGAACATGACATGTGGTGTGAGGCAACTGTTGCTGTGGTTGTTGACAGGTCTGTTCCTACAGTCATTGGCCTGTGTTTTGCATGGTGTGTTCATCTGTGTGAAATGACTTGCTTTCAGTGATAACCCAAGAACACACATTAATTTGTGCCTCTCTCTTTCAGTCATGAAACGCAACATGTCATCAGAGTTTGGTTGGGGCAGTGGAGCAGATGGAGGTTTGGGCCAGCAGAGTTCCACTTCAGGCAGTGGAGCATGGACATCCACCCCCAGTGAGTTGAGAAGTCTTTATGTTGATCATAACTCCACCGCCAGGACACTGTAGCTAGCAGTTATTCAGCCAGGTGTCTTTCTCAAGGCCCATAGACATGGTAGTCTATTTATGCTCTATTGGAATGCCTTCTTTCTTTCCCTGTGGCCTTGGGTTTGTCTTTTACCCACTAACTGTCATAGAAATTAAATGACAAATAACTGGCAAGGTTAGTCATTGATACATTTGGCTTCATTATTATTATTTCAACAAAATTATGCCTTGCTTTTTGTCCGTTTGTTTTTTGTTTGTATAAGCGTAGCTCTATCTTGTTTCTTGTTTATGCCTAGTAACAGAATGGTATTGTAGACATTATTGGGGAGTTGGGTGAAGTGTTGAACTAACTCAAGTGTACTCTTTCCTTTCATGGATGCAGACCTGGAGAACACCAGTTCCCCGTCCACATCCTGGCAAGTCATGGGCAAGTCTGACAGTGCTTCTGATGCAGGAGATGATGCATCCTCTGTGAAGTCTGGCTCCACCATCACCAACGTGACCAACAACACACCTCAGTCACAGGATTCCACAAACACATCCAACACTGGAGCTCTTCAGACCAGCTCTAGTCCCTGGAGTACATCCAATTCCACACTGCCATCTATGGACTCAAGTCCCTGGGGCAATAGCAGCTCCTCTGCAGTCTCTAGCATTGGCTCAGTGGGCTGGGCATCCAATCCACCAGGTCTTTCTCTTGCCGGGAACAACACAGGGCATAACCAGCAACCAGGTTCTAATATTATTGGCAGTAACTCAGCATTCAACTCCAGCAGCAACTCCACATCATCATCTTTGTGGCCCTCTAATCTGTCTGGAAGTACCTCAAACCAGCCGCCAAATATGGGCGGTAGCCTCTCAGCTCAGTGGCCTAGCAGTTCAATGTTGGGCAATATAGGTGACTTGTCTAAGGGCTCAGATTCTGCTTGGAACCACCCAGCTTCCTCTGTAATTGATAACAAGGATTTGAGTGGGGCTAGCTCTGATCCTAGGATGTGGGGCATGTCCTCAGATAAGGCCAGTGAAGGTCAGTGGGACACATCCAAAAGCCAGTGGGGAAATAATGCTCTAGCTGCTAGTGCTGACCACAGTAGCAGTGGCACAGAACTCTCCTTTGCCCAGGCCACACTGAAAGGGTTGAAGATCCCACCCACACCAACCACCCCCCAAAGTCTGGTCAGTTCACGACAAGAAGACATTTTACGTGCCATTGAGAGCCATGAAGGCTGGGGTTCAAGGCCGGTCCGTCAAGACACAAGTTGGGATGTAGACAACTCTCCCAAGTCTCAGCGCAAGTTCTCCACTGATGGAAATGCTGCGGCTTCCAATGTGTGGAACAACAGCAACGGAACAGCAATATGGGAAGCCTTGCGCGGCAACCACAGTAACAACTGGAGTGGGGCAGCTTCGTCCGGGGGCAATTCTTGGAATGTAGACAAAGATCAGACCAGCTGGGGAGGTCCACCTAAACCAGCACAGGATCCCAACACCTGGAATATGGGAGCAAATGCAGATCCAAAGACATTTGCAACCTGGGGAGCTACAGGGGGTGCAGGAGATGCTTCCAATAAAATGTGGGGTCAGAAGACTGAAGTGGGATCTTGGGGGGAGGGTGGGGTTCAGCGACCACCTGGTGTCTCCTCATGGGGGGATGATGGGGATGGTGGAGGTTGGGAGGATCAGCACCGCATGGCCGCTGGTGTTGGAGGCATGCAGATGATGGTGCCCCCCAGTCCTGCTTTGGGAGGTCCCGCAGGCATGCCTGCAATTGTGCCTCAAGGAATACCAGGCATGAACACTGCCGTGGTCAACTCTGAGCCTGGAGCCTGGAACGATGGTCAGAAACCTGGGTGGAATTCAGCTAGTTCGGCTGCCGTCAGTCGCTCAAACTTGGATGAGCCATGGAACAAACCACCGCCGACTAGAACTGGATGGGGAGACCCAGCACAGGATGGTGCTGACATTGACAATGGAACTGGCATTTGGGTGGCTGCTACACCCAAGCAGGTAATCAGTTATTGTTTCATTGTTTTTTTCCCTAGGGGTATTTATTGATTGTATCATTATCCTGTTCCTTAGGTAATCAGGGATTGTTTCACTTGTCGTGTTCCGTATGTAATCAGTGATTGTTTCACTTGTCCTGTTCCTTAGGTAATCAGTGATTGTTTCACTTGTCCTGTTCCTTAGGTAATCAGTGATTGTTTCACTTGTCCTGTTCCTTAGGTAATCAGTGATTGTTTCACTTGTCCTGTTCCGTATGTAATCAGTGATTGTTTCACTTGTCCTGTTCCTTAGGTAATCAGTGATTATTTCACCTGTTGTGTTCCTTAGGCAATCAGTGATTGTTTCACTTGTCCTGTTCCTTAGGTAATCAGTGATTATTTCACCTGTTGTGTTCCTTAGGCAATCAGTGATTGTTTCACTTGTCCTGTTCCGTATGTAATCAGTGATTGTTTCACTTGTCCTGTTCCTAAGGTAATCAGTGATTGTTTCACTTGTCCTGTTCCTTAGGTAATCAGTGATTGTTTCACTTGTCCTGTTCCTTAGGTAGTCAGTGATTGTTTCACTTGTCCTGTTCCGTATGTAATCAGTGATTGTTTCACTTGTCCTGTTCCTTAGATAATCAGTGATTGTTTCACTTGTCCTGTTCCTTCAGGGATTGTTTCACTTGTCCTGTTCCTTAGAAAATCAGGGATTGTTTCACTTGTCCTGTTCCATAGATAATCAGGGATTGTTTCACTTGTCCTGTTCCTTAGATAATCAGGGATTGTTTCACTTGTCCTGTTCCTTAGATAATCAGTGATTGTTTCACTTGTCCTGTTCCTTAGGTAATCAGTGATTGTTTCACTTGTCGTGTTCCTTAGGTAATCAGTGATTGTTTCACTTGTCCTGTTCCTAAGGTAATCAGTGATTGTTTCACTTGTCCTGTTCCTTAGGTAATCAGTGATTGTTTCACTTGTCCTGTTCCTTAGGTAATCAGTGATTGTTTCACTTGTCCTGTTCCGTATGTAATCAGTGATTGTTTCACTTGTCCTGTTCCTTAGGTAATCAGGGATTGTTTCACTTGTCCTGTTCCTTAGATAATCAGTGATTGTTTCACTTGTCCTGTTCCTTAGGTAATCAGTGATTGTTTCACTTGTCGTGTTCCTTAGGTAATCAGTGATTGTTTCACTTGTCCTGTTCCTAAGGTAATCAGTGATTGTTTCACTTGTCCTGTTCCTTAGGTAATCAGTGATTGTTTCACTTGTCCTGTTCCTTAGGTAATCAGTGATTGTTTCACTTGTCCTGTTCCGTATGTAATCAGTGATTGTTTCACTTGTCCTGTTCCTCAGGTAATCAGGGATTGTTTCACTTGTCCTGTTCCTTAGATAATCAGTGATTGTTTCACTTGTCCTGTTCCTTCAGGGATTGTTTCACTTGTCCTGTTCCTTAGAAAATCAGGGATTGTTTCACTTGTCCTGTTCCATAGATAATCAGGGATTGTTTCACTTGTCCTGTTCCTTAGATAATCAGGGATTGTTTCACTTGTCCTGTTCCTTAGATAATCAGGGATTGTTTCACTTGTCCTGTTCCCTAGGGGTAATCAGTGATTGTTTCACTTGTCCTGTTTTGTAGGGGTAATCAGTTTTCACATCTCAACAGTCATGGGGACATGAGGGAGTAAGAGAGAGAAGATGAATATATTGTCTGTTCACATCTCAACAGCATTTATTCTGACATGAGGAAGAGAGAGAAGATGAATATATTGTCTGTTCACATCTCAACAGCAGTCATGGGAATGAGGGGTAGAGAGAAGGCGAATTGAATATACTGTCTTTTCACATTTCAATTCAATTCAACAGTTATGGGGACCTGAGGAAGAGAGAGAAGGTGAATTAAAATTATTGTCCTATTAAATGTAAAAGATCAGTCATGAAAGGGGAGGGGGGGGGGGGTGAGAGATGATCCTTTCCATCACTTCAATGATTCTGACTGTAAGCCAGCTTGACCTGTATTTGTGTTTGTGCGTAGTTACCTCCGCAGGCGAAAGTGGCCAGCTGGGGAGAAGCTTCACAACAGGGTCAGTGGAATGCTGCTGTTGGGGCCAAGGCTAAAGCACCCGGAGGATGGGATGAGGCGTCATGGGCCATAGCACAGAGAGCAAAGGTATCGCACTTGCAGAGTTTAAACCAGTCATTGTTGTTGTGTAGAAATGCAGACACCACACTGCTAGATGTTGGTGTGAGTTCAGAGTTCAGGGTTGTGACTGTTGTCTGAGAGTCTAGACTGTGCAGTGGCTCGGGTGTGTGTGTCGTCTGAGAGTCTAGACTGTAGTGGCTCAGGTGTGTGTGTCGTCTGAGAGTCTAAACTGTAGTGGCTCAGGTGTGTGTGTCGTCTGAGAGTCTAGACTGTAGTGGCTCAGGTGTGTGTGTCGTCTGAGAGTCTAGACTGTAGTGGCTCAGGTGTGTGTGTCGTCTGAGAGTCTAGACTGTAGTGGCTCGGGTGTGTGTCGTCTGAGAGTCTACACTGTGTAGTGGCTCAGGTGTGTGTCGTCTGAGAGTCTAGACTGTAGTGGCTCGGGTGTGTGTCGTCTGAGAGTCTACACTGTGTAGTGGCTCGGCTGTGTGTGTTGTCTGAGAGTCAGGACAGTGTGACGGCTGCGCTGTGTGTGTTGTCTGAGAGTCAGGACAGTGTGATGGCTGCGCTGTGTGTGTTGTCTGAGAGTCAGGACAGTCTGATGGCTGCGCTGTGTGTGTTGTCTGAGAGTCAGGACAGTGTGGTGGCTGGGCTGTGTAGGCTGTCTGTGAGTCAGGACAGTGTAGTGGCTGGGCTGTGTAGGCTGTCTTGAGTCAGGACAGTGTAGTGGCTGGGCAGTGTAGGCTGTCTGTGAGTCAGGACAGTGTGGTGGCTGGGCTGTGTAGGCTGTCTGTGAGTCAGGACAGTGTGGTGGCTGGGCTGTGTAGGCTGTCTGTGAGTCAGGACAGTGTGGTGGCTGCGCTGTGTGTGTTGTCTGAGAGTCAGGACAGTTTAGTGTCTCGGCTGTGTGTGTTGTCTGTGAGTCAGGACAGTGTGGTGGCTGGGCTGTGTAGGCTGTCTTTGAGTCAGGACAGTGTGATAGCTGTGTGTTTTCCATTAGCACCTTGCTCTCTGCATTGTTGTTGGTGTGTTGGCCTCACAGTCATGGTGCTGAGATTAGAGCACAGAAACAAATTATATTAAAGCTGTTCCCTCCCTTGTCCTCTTGTGTATTTTGAGAGATGACGTGCAATTCAAACTGATACTTTTTCTCTCCCACATTCCAAAAAATAATAATTTATTTCACTGTCTCAAACCTTTAATCACTTTAATCACCAATAATCACCATGTATTCAAGATCTACAGTGGATGCCCATGCATCTTATATACATTATATAGTCTAGTCCCATCAGCTGTGGGGTCACAGGCAGTCTAGTCCCATCAGCTGTGGAGTCAGGGAGTCTAGTCCCATCAGCTGCAGTGTCACAGGGAGCCTAGGTCCATCTGCTGTGGAGTCACAGGGAGTCTAGTCCTATCAGCTGTGGGGTCAGGGAGTCTAGTCCCATCAGCTGTGGAGTCACAGGGAGCCTAGGCCCATCTGCTGTGGAGTCACAGGGAGCCTAGGCCAATCTGCTGTGGAGTCACAGGGAGTCTAGTACCATCAGCTGTGGAGTCACAGGGAGTCTTGTTCCATCAGCTGTTGTGTGCCATGTTCTCTAACCAGAGGGCTGGCTAGACACAAGGTTTGACTGGTGTCAAGTAAAAAAAAGGCCAGCTAGACACACGGTTTGACTGGTGTCATGTAGAATGATGGCTAGACACAGTGTTTGACTGGTGTCATGTGTAGAGGACCAGCAAGACAAAAGGTTTGACTGGTGTCATGTAGAGGGCTGGCTAGACACAAGGTTTGACTGGTGTCATGTAGAATGATGGCTAGACACAGTGTTTGTCTGGTGTCATGTGGAGAGGACCAGCAAGACGAAAGGTTTGACTGGTGTCATGTAGAGGGCTGGCTAGACACAAGGTTTGACTGGTGTCATGTAGAATGATGGCTAGACACAGTGTTTGTCTGGTGTCATGTGGAGAGGACCAGCAAGACGAAAGGTTTGACTGGTGTCATGTAGAGGGCTGGCTAGACACAAGGTTTGACTAGTGTCAAGAAGAGAGGGCTAGCTAGACACAACGTTTGATTGGTGTCAATTAAAGAGGGCTGGCTAGAAACAAGGTTTGATTGGTGTCATGTAGAGGGCCGGCTAGACACAAGGTTTGGCTGGTGTCATGTAGAGGGCCAGCTAGACACAAGGTTTGACTGGTGTCAATTAGAGAGGGCTGGCTAGACACAAGGTTTGGTTGGTGTCATGTAGAGGGCCGGCTAGACACAAGGTTTGACTGGTGTCATGTAGAGGGCCAGCTTGACACAAGGTTTGACTGGTGTCAGAGAGGGCTGGCTAGACACAAGGTTTGACTGGTGTCATGTAGAGGGCCAGCTTGACACAAGGTTTGACTGGTGTCAGAGAGGGCTGGCTAGACACAAGGTTTGACTGGTGTCATGTAGAGGGCCAGCTAGACACAAGGTTTGATTGGTGTCATGTAGAGGGCCAGCTAGACACAAGGTTTGACTGGTGTCAGAGAGGGCTGGCTAGACACAAAGTTTGACTGGTGTCAGAGAGGGCTGGCTAGACACAAGGTTTGACTGGTGTCAGAGAGGGCTGGCTAGACACAAGGTTTGACTGGTGTCATGTAGAGGGCTGGCTAGACACAAGGTTTGGTTGGTGTCAGAGAGGGCTGGCTAGACACAAGGTTTGACTGGTGTCAGAGAGGGCTGGCTAGACACAAGGTTTGGTTGGTGTCATGTAGAGGGCTGGCTAGACACAAGGTTTGACTGGTGTCAGAGAGGGCTGGCTAGACACAAGGTTTGACTGGTGTCAGAGAGGGCTGGCTAGACACAAGGTTTGACTGGTGTCATGTAGAGGGCTGGCTAGACACAAGGTTTGTGGAGTCACAGGGAGCCTAGGCCAATCTGCTGTGGAGTCACAGGGAGTCTAGTACCATCAGCTGTGGAGTCACAGGGAATCTTGTTCCATCAGCTGTTGTGTGCCATGTTCTCTAACCAAAGGGCTGGCTAGACACAAGGTTTGACTGGTGTCAAGTTAAAAAAGGCCAGCTAGACACACGGTTTGACTGGTGTCATGTAGAATGATGACTAGACACAGTGTTTGACTGGTGTCATGTGGAGAGGACCAGCAAGACAAAAGGTTTGACTGGTGTCATGTAGAGGGCTGGCTAGACACAAGGTTTGACTGGTGTCAATTAGAGAGGGCTGGCTAGAAACAAGGTTTGATTGGTGTCATGTAGAGGGCCAGCTAGACACAAGGTTTGACTGGTGTCAATTAGAGAGGGCTGGCTAGACACAAGGTTTGGTTGGTGTCATGTAGAGGGCCGGCTAGACACAAGGTTTGACTGGTGTCATGTAGAGGGCCAGCTAGACACAAGGTTTGACTGGTGTCAGAGAGGGCTGGCTAGACACAAGGTTTGACTGGTGTCATGTAGAGGGCCGGCTAGACACAAGGTTTGACTGGTGTCATGTAGAGGGCCGGCTAGACACAAGGTTTGACTGGTGTCATGTAGAGGGCCGGCTAGACACAAGGTTTGACTGGTGTCATGTAGAGGGCCGGCTAGACACAAGGTTTGACTGGTGTCATGTAGAGGGCTGGCTAGACACAAGGTTTGACTGGTGTCAGAGAGGGCTGGCTAGACACAAGGTTTGATTGGTGTCATGTAGAGTTCCGGCTAGACACAAGGTTTGATTGGTGTCATGTAGAGGGCCAGCTAGACACAAGGTTTGACTGGTGTCAATTAGAGAGGGCTGGCTAGACACAAGGTTTGACTAAATGTGGGAAGCTGACAGATTTATCGAGCTAAATGTGTGAAGCTGACAGATTTATTATGCTGAATGTATGGATCTGACAGATTTATTAAGCTGAATGTTTGAAGCTAACAGATTTATTAAGCTGAATGTATGGATCTGACAGATTTATTAAGCTGAATGTGTGAAGCTAACAGATTTATTAAGCTAAATGTATGGAGCTGACAGATTTATCAAGCTGAATGTGTAGAGTTGACAGATTTATCAAGCTAAATGTGGGAAGCTGACAGATTTATTAAGCTGAATGTATGGATCTGACAGATTTATTAAGCTGAATGTGTGAAGCTAACAGATTTATTAAGCTGAATGTATGGATCTGACAGATTTATTAAGCTGAATGTGTGAAGCTAACAGATTTATCAAGCTGAATGTATGGATCTGACAGATTTATTAAGCTGAATGTGTGGAGTTGACAGATTTATCAAGCTGAATGTGTGGAGCTGACAGATTTATTAAGCTGAATGTGTGAAGCTAACAGATTTATCAAGCTGAATGTGTGAAGCTAACAGATTTATCAAGCTGAATGTGTGGAGCTGACAGATTTATCAAGCTGAATGTGTGGAGCTGACAGATTTATCAAGGTGAATGTGTGGAGCTGACAGATTTATCAAGCTAAATGTGTGGAGCTGACAGATTTATCAAGCTGAATGTGTGGAGCTGACAGATTTATCAAGCTGAATGTGTGGAGCTGACAGATTTATTAAGCTAAATGTGTGGAGCTAACAGATTTATTGAGCTGAATGTGTGGAGCTGACAGATTTATTGAGCTGAATGTGTGGAGCTGACAGATTTATTGAGCTGAATGTGTGGAGCTGACAGATTTATTGAGCTGAATGTGTGGAGCTGACAGATTTATTAAGCTGAATGTGTGGAGCTAACAGATTTATTGAGCTGAATGTGTGGAGCTGACAGATTCTGCACTTGTTTTTACACACATCTTGCCTCTGATTTTATGATTGAAGCCAGATATTTGGTTTTAACGACTTGGATTAACTTTTTACCTTCTATTCTAATATCCCACTGTGGTGGTATACATTTCCTTGAAATAACCATTACCTCCGTTTAATTCTGCCTTTTATAATGCAGTTTCTTTCACCAAGGGGATTGGATTATTTGGTCTTTATCTTGTTCTCATTGCATGTTTAGACACAGTTGTTTTGAATTTCCGCCATGACCAGTGTGTTTCTGCTCTGATTTTGGGATTGAATACTGTGATAGCCACTGAGCTTATTTCTTGTTGGTTAATTTCCCAGCAATTACCTTCACAACAAGTACCACAGAAGTACATGAGCAGTGGCAGCCACCCACCTACACAGATGAGAGCCAAGCTTCTGCAGCAGCTCATGGACTTGGGATATCGGGTGAGAAATGTGTCCACCTTGAAGTGTGTGTGTGTATCAGTATGACAGTGCTACTGGGCTCCAGCCTTGTTGGGCTTGCTGTAAACACCTTCGAATCAAGCCCTCACCTGCCTCTTCTTGTTGAAATCCATAAACAAACACTGTTACAGATAACTTTCAATGTTGGCAGTTACTTGTGCCTGTTGTTGTCAGTCTCTGCTGTCCTGTAACAACCCAGTAGTCATGGTTGTCTTGTGAACACTTGTGCCTCTTGTCAGTCTCTGCTGTCCTGTAACAACCCAGTAGTCATGGTTGTCTTGTGGACACTTGTGCCTCTTGTCAGTCTCTGCTGTCCTGTAACAACCCAGTAGTCATGGTTGTCTTGTGGACACTTGTGCCTCTTGTCAGTCTCTGCTGTCCTGTAACAACCCAGTAGTCATGGTTGTCTTGTGGACACTTGTGCCTGTTGTCAGTCTCTGCTGTCCTGTAACAACCCAGTAGTCATGGTTGTCTTATGGACATTTGTGCCTGTTGTCAGTCTCTGCTGTCCTGTAACAACCCAGTAGTCATGGTTGTCTTGTGGACACTTGTGCCTCTTGTCAGTCTCTGCTGTCCTGTAACAACCCAGTAGTCATGGTTGTCTTGTGGACACTTGTGCCTGTTGTCAGTCTCTGCTGTCCTGTAACAACCCAGTAGTCATGGTTGTCTTATAGACACTTGTGCCTGTTGTCAGTCTCTGCTGTCCTGTAACAACCCAGTAGTCATGGTTGTCTTGTGGACACTTGTGCCTCTTGTCAGTCTCTGCTGTCCTGTAACAACCCAGTAGTCTTGGTTGTCTTGTGGACACTTGTGCCTGTTGTCAGTCTCTGCTGTCCTGTAACAACCCAGTAGTCATGGTTGTCTTATGGACACTTGTGCCTGTTGTCAGTCTCTGCTGTCCTGTAACAACCCAGTAGTCATGGTTGTCTTGTGGACACTTGTGCCTCTTGTCAGTCTCTGCTGTCCTGTAACAACCCAGTAGTCTTGGTTGTCTTGTGGACACTTGTGCCTCTTGTCAGTCTCTGCTGTCCTGTAACAACCCAGTAGTCATGGTTGTCTTGTGGACACTTGTGCCTGTTGTCAGTCTTTGCTGTCCTGTAACAACCCAGTAGTCATGGTTGTCTTGTGGACACTTTTGCCTATGGTTGAAGCACCATCATGCCTTAGATACCTTGCTGTGTATGAATTTTCATTCTTGCAAGCAACAGGCTTGAGCATCTTCTCTCTCTACCCTGACATATTTGTTCCTCATGGTGTATATCAGTTTGGACCTGGTCATGCAGTTATTAGCAATATCAGATCACTGTGGGACCTATGTGCAGCTGAAATACTACAAGCATCCTGGTGTTATTAGCCTTGTATTCAAGATTCTGCTATCATGCTTATGAAGACCGGTCAGGAACTAGAGATAGTCAGGTGATGCAAGATGACATGATAAGTAGCTGACATATTGTACAGCCGTGCACGGTCAGGAACCAGAGATAGTCAGGTGATGCGAGATGACATGATAAGTAGCTGACACATTGTACAGCCGTGCACGGTCAGGAACCAGGGATAGTTAGGTGATGCGAGATGACATGATAAGTAGCTGACACATTGTACAGCCGTGCACGGTCAGGAACCAGGGATAGTTAGGTGATGCGAGATGACATGATAAGTAGCTGACACATTGTACAGCCGTGCACGGTCAGGAACCAGGTATAGTCAGGTGATGCGAGATGACATGATAAGTAGCTGACATATTGTACAGCCGTGCACGGTCAGGAACCAGGGATAGTCAGGTGATGCGAGATGACATGATAAGTAGCTGACACATTGTACAGCCGTGCACGGTCAGGAACCAGGGATAGTTAGGTGATGCGAGATGACATGATAAGTAGCTGACACATTGTACAGCCGTGCACGGTCAGGAACCAGGGATAGTTAGGTGATGCGAGATGACATGATAAGTAGCTGACACATTGTACAGCCGTGCACGGTCAGGAACCAGGGATAGTCAGGTGATGCAAGATGACATGATAAGTAGCTGACATATTGTACAGCCGTGCACGGTCAGGAACCAGGTATAGTCAGGTGATGCGAGATGACATGATAAGTAGCTGACACATTGTACAGCCATGCACGGTCAGGAACCAGGGATAGTTAGGTGATGCGAGATGACATGATAAGTAGCTGACACATTGTACAGCTGTGCACGGTCAGGAACCAGGGATAGTCAGGTGATGCGAGATGACATGATAAGTAGCTGACATATTGTACAGCCGTGCATGAACTCTGTCAGCTCGGCTCCAATAATTCCTCCCTGTTCATTGTATTTTTGTCTTTCAAAGCTTTAGTTATTCCTACCTGTTTATTGTGTTTTTGTCTTTCAGAGCTTTAGTTATCCCAGTTTATTTTGTTTTTTCTTTCAGATTTAAGATCTTTAATTATCCCTCCCTGTTCATTGTGTTTTTGTCTTTCAGAGCTCCAGAATCCCGCAAGATTCATTGTGTTTTTGTCTTTTAGATCTCCAGAATCCTGCCATGTTCATTGTGTTTTTGTCTTTCAGAGCTTTAATTATCTCTTTCTCTGTTCATTGTGTTTTTGTCTTTCAGAGCTCCGAAATCCCTCCATGTTCATTGTGTTTTTGTCTTTCAGAGCTCCAATTATCCCTCCATGTTCATTGTGTTTTTGTCTTTCAGAGCTCCAGAACCCCTGCATGTTCATTGTTTTTTGTTGTTCAGAGCTCTAGAATCACTCTGTTTATTGTGTTTTTGTCTTTCAGAGCTCCAGTTATCCCTCCATGTTCATTGTGTTTTTATCTTCCAGAGCTCCAATCCCTCCATGCTCATTGTTATTTTTGTCTTTCAGAAAGAAGAAGCTCAGAATGCTCTAATTACCAACAATCTCAACCTGGAGATGGCCATAAGTGAGTCTTGTCTGTGGTTGGGTCAGATGTGGGCCACATATGCATGTTGTCTATGGTTGTTTGGGTCAGGATGTGGGCCACATATGAGTGAGTGTTGTCTGTGGCTGTTCAGGTCAGGTTGTGTGGGCCACAAATGTGTGTGTATTGTCTGTGGTTGTTTGGGTGAGGGTATGGGCCACATGAAAGTAAATATTGTCTGTGGTTGTTTGGGTGAGGGTGTGGTCTACATATGAATGAGTGTTTGTGTTCAGGTTGGATACAGACATATTTGCTTTTGTAGAATGTGTATTACCTGACACAGTTAGGTTTCATTCTGTGAGAGGAAAGAAGCATCTGGTTACTGGGTATTTGGCCAAAAGAAGCCAGGTCAGTAGAGTTGTTTCTAGTGACATTACACTGACTTTGGGTCATCTAAAGTGGGACAGGACATTTAGCCCTCTCAGTGAGGGCACAAAATAATCGTCCATGGATGTTGCATTGGAATCACTGGGTATTTTACGGCATCATTGACCTGCCAGGAAAAGAAAACTCATTGGTATTGGAAAACAAACCCACACACAGTTAGAGGGAAACAAGCTCACAGATAAAGGGAAATAATCCCATAGCTAGAGGGAAACCAACCCACAGCTAGAGGTAAACCAACCCATAGGTAGAGGGAAACAAGCCCACATGTAGAGGGAAACAAGCCCACAGGTAGAGGGAAACAAGCCCACAGGTAGAGGGAAACAAGCCCACAGCTAGAGGGATACAAGCCTACAGCTAGAGGGTTACAAGCCCACAGCTAGAGGGATACAAGCCCACAGCTAGAGGGATACAAGCCCACAGCTAGAGGGATACAAGCCCACAGCTAGAGGGATACAAGCCTACAGCTAGAGGGAAACAAGCCTACAGCTAGAGGGAAACAAGCCTACAGCTAGAGGGATACAAGCCTACAGCTAGAGGGATACAAGCCCACATGTAGAGGGATACAAGCCTACAGCTAGAGGGAAACAAGCCTACAGCTAGAGGGAAACAAGCCTACAGCTAGAGGGAAACAAGCCTACAGCTAGAGGGATACAAGCCTACAGCTAGAGGGATACAAGCCCACAGGTAGAGGGATACAAGCCCACAGCTAGAGGGTTACAAGCCCACAGCTAGAGGGTTACAAGCCCACAGGTAGAGGGAAACAAGCCTACAGCTAGAGGGAAACAAGCCTGCAGCTAGAGGGATACAAGCCCACAGGTAAAGGGAAACAAGCCCACAGTTAGAGGGAAACAAGCCCACAGCTAGAGGGAAACAAGCCCACAGGTAAAGTGAAACAAGCCCACAGGTAAAGTGAAACAAGCCCACAGCTAGAGGGAAACAAACCAACCCACAACTAGAGGTAAACCAACCCACAGCTAGAGGGAAACCAACCCAAAGCTAGAGGGAAACAAGCCCACTGGTAGAGGGAAACAAGCCCATGTGTTTGTTGTGTTATCTGACGAGATGAGCTGGTGAACATTGTGTTATCTGATCAGATTAACTGGTAAAATTTGTGGTTTTATTGTCTGAGATGAGCTGATGAACATTGTTCTGTTGGATGTATTGTTTGTGACAGTGATGAGATGAGCAGATGAAAGCTGTTTTGTTGGATGTGTTGTTGTCGTGTGACAATGAAGAGATGCGTTGTCCATGAATCCTCAGATGACCTCAAGTCTGGCAATGTCAACATGGCCAGGAAAGATCTTGACATGGACGTCTTCCAGACAAATATATCTCAGTCACGTATGCCATACATATCCAAGGGAGGGCTGGGGAGTGAGGAGCTGTCAGACATGCGCCCTGACCAAGTGCCTACTTACAACAACCTACAGAATACTCCGTTCCCTAATGCCCAGATCCCTAACCAGCCATTCATGGCCAGCAATGCTAGTCTGCCAGCCTCTGGTCTCAACGCCAGCAATTCCAGTATTAATTCAAGCCTTCAACAGAAACTGATGCAGAAGATGCAGCAGCAACAAGCCCCACCATCATTTGGTCAGAGAGGAGCACCTGTACCCCCTGTTGGGACCGCCACAAACAACCCATTGCCTCCACAGCAGCAGCAACAAATCCGCTCCCAGCTCCGCCAGGCCGTCAGCAGTGGCTTGATATCACAACAGCTACTGAACTATCAGCTGCCTCACAACATCCTGGTGCTGCTGCAGCAGCTCCTGCAGCTTCAGACTGCTCTCCAGAATGTTGTAGGCAAGCAGCAGCAGCTGATGCAGCAGGCCAGATCTACTGGCAGCCGCAGCAATCCTCAGCTGGAGCAGATGCCCGGAATCATCAGCAGCATCAACCAGCAGATCATCAGTGTTCAGAAGCAACTCCAGCAAGCACAGAGTACTTTCTTCAGCAGCCAGAAGCCACCCAGCCTGAGCCAGACGTCTGGGACAATCACACCACAATCAAACCAGCAGCCAGGAGTCGCCATGATGGACACTTTAGATGCTCTCAGTACTGACTTAGCAAATGTAGCTTTACAGAGCCAGTCTCGTCTGACAACTCAGTGGAAGCCCTCCATGGATGCTTCAGCTGCTGCTACAGCAGATACTACCACCACGAACTCAGCCGTCACTGCAGCCAACAAAGTTGATGATGGTGGAGACAGCAAAGCTCCAGGAGCAAAGGGACTGCTGCAGTCTTCATCATCACCCAATCTTAGTCTCATCCCGGGTGGACTGGGAATGACCGGTGATAAAACCTGGTCTTCTAACATGTCATCTACAACTTCCTCCAACTGGCCCATGTCATCTAGTCAGAACATAGCTAGCAACTCTCAGACTGACGTCAAAGTCTGCAACTCTAGCAGCACCTCTACCTCTCTATTGTCAGGCTTACACTCAGGTCTCTCCGATGTCATTCCAGAATTTGTGCCGGGCAAACCCTGGCAAGGTCTGGCCAAGAATGTGGAAGATGACCCTCACGTGACCCCAGGCAGCATCCAGTACCAGCGCTCACTGAGTGTCAACAGAGTTCACGATGACTCGCTGCACAATCTGGATGGTCACAAATTACCCAACAGCTCCTGGGGTGCCAACCTGAAGTCAGACAACAGCCTGGGACTAAGCCAGCTGGGCACTCGGCCACCTCCTAGCATGTCCTCAACCATGACCAAGGGTGTGGGTCAGCACTGGCAGCCGGCAGCAGCAAACTTCAACAGACACACCTGTTGGCCCCATTCTGCCAACTCGGCATTCACTAAAGGTAAGCCTCTTGTCACACTTCACTTGCAGGGCTGGTACACAGATTGATCCTACATAGATATCACAGAGAAGTTGACCTGTAAGGTTCTTGTACATGTCAGTAGTATTTGAGGCTAGACATAGTTTTATAGACCACTCGGCCCTCTGGGAGCCTAGGTCATTTACAGATTTGCACCCATGACCTTCATATCCACAGGTATACATCTAGCCCCTTATGATTGAAGTAGGCGCACACACAGTGGCATATCCCTAACCATAGCATATCCCTAACCGTAGCATATCCCTAACTGTGGCATATCCTAAACTGTGGCATATCCCCCAACAGTAGCATATTCCAAACTGTGGTATATCCCCAACAGTAGCATATCCCTAACAGTGGCATATCCCGAACTGTAGCATATCCTGAACTGTAGCATATCCCTGACAGTAGCATATCCCTGACAGTAGCATATCCCTGACATGTCCCCAACAGCAGCGTGTCCCCAACAGCGGCATGTCCCTAACAGCGGCATGTCCCCAACAGCGGCATGTCCCCAACAGCGGCATGTCCCCATCAGTGGCATGTCCCCAACAGGGGCATGTCCCCAACAGGGGCATGTCCCCAACAGGGGCATATCCCCAACAGGGGCATATCCCCAACAGTGGCATGTCCCCAACAGTGGCATGTCCCCAACAGTGGTATACCTCCAACAGTGGCAGATGCACATGGTTTTCACTGGCAATCAGCATAGACTTGGGTGAGGTGGCATCGAGTGACTGTCTCCTGTGTGCACCAGAACTGGTCTCCTTGTGTGGTCATACCAGTGGCTGTGAGCAGTGGTAAAACCTTAAGGAAAGGCTGGGTCAGCACAGGGATTGTTACATGCTTTTGAAGTTTCACCTGTTAAAGGGTGTGTGGGTGTGTGTATGTATGTATGTTTACTATATATATGTATGTATTGGTGTATGTTTGTGTGTAGGTCAGGCCTTGATCAGATATGACCAGGCTACCATATAACAGTAGCTAGTACAACCTGTCTTCTATTATGTTGAATGTTGGGCAGGGTATACCAAACCTGACATCCCATATTGTGCCAACTGCTTCGGGCGGGAGAGCACATTGGGGAGGGTATTAACCTTATCCTGGGACCAGAAAATGCAACCTGAAAGCTCAGTGTTATGGTAGGGCAGACCAGGCCCTATATCTTTTCTGGCAGCTGGTCTGAGATTTGTGTCTGTGTGTTTCAGTGACCATGTGAGTGTGGTGGGTATATCTATCAGTGTTAGGTGAGATTTGTGTCTGTGTGTTTTATTGACTGTGTGAGAGTGGTGGGTATAATATCTATCAGTGTTAGGTGAGATTTGTGTCTGTGTGTTTCAGTGACTGTGTGATAGTGGTGGGTATATCTATCAGTGTTAGGTGAGATTTGTGTCTGTGTGTTTCATTGACCGTGTGAGAGTGGTGGGTATATCTGTCAGTGTTAGGTGAGATTTGTGTTTGTGTGTTTCATTGACCGTGTGAGAGTGGTGGGTATATCTATCAGTGTTAGGTGAGATTTGTGTCTGTGTGTTTCAGTGACCGTGTGAGAGTGGTGGGTATATCAATCAGTGTGAGGTGAGATTTGTGTTTGTGTGTTTCATTGACCGTGTGAGAGTGGTTGGTATATCTATCAGGTTTAAGTGAGATTTGTGTCTGTGTGTTTCAGTGACCGTGTGAGAGTGGTGGGTATATCTATCAGCTTTAGGTGAGATTTGTGTTTGTGTGTTTCAGTGACCGGGTCTGGCTGGAATGAAAACACCGGTGCCATCAGCTCGTGGTTGCTGTTAAAGAATCTGACGGTATGTTGTTGATTGTTGGTGACACTTGTCAAGTTTCTGTATGGTTGACTTGTGTCACTGTGATTCTGGAACATTCTCTTGTCTTTAATGCTGGCTGGACTTATAGACTAGGTTGCAGCCTCACACAGTGGATTTCACCCGCACACAGTGGATTTCACGTGGGATTTTCCGCTTGCAGTTGTCTGTTATGTATTAAACTCCAGTGTCTCTCTGGCCTTGCTATCGATCCCCCAGCCAGTTCTCTACTAGGAGTCTTTCAATGTGACAGCTATTGCCTGTAATTGACTGTGATTAACAATCTGTTACAACAAACTTTGCTCTGTACTTTAACTCCTGTCTGCTCATGTAAATAGCTAATGTTTATGAGAGCTGAGACTTAGTGAGCCAGCAGCTAATATATTCGTTTCTTATGGTCCCTGCCATGTGCTGTCAGCAGTCACTTACGATACAGATATCCTTTCATGCCATGATGCTAGATGTACCAGCATCTTCTCTATTTTGTTACTCTGTTTCTGTTGTCCATTGGCTGGTCGGACACACATGCTGATCTTTCTCTGGTCAAGTTCAGATCTACAAGGTGGGTGGCTAGTTTTGGTTGACCTGGAGACCTTCACCCTAAGGGCTACTTATGGTGGTCACAGTGAGGTCAGTCCCACTCTTGACGCATACAGTTAAAGGCAAGCTGGAATGAGAGCACTATGTGGCATATGTACACTGACAGGGAATTATACCCTCAGGAAGTCATCTATGAAGACTAAAATCAGATCAGGAAAATGTCTGATCTTATGCCAGATACAACTATGTCTAATGAATGTCTGATGTAATGCCAGCTACAACTATGTCTAATGAATGTCTAATCTAATGCCGGCTTCAACCATGTCTGATGAATGTCTGATCTAATGCCAGCTACAACCATGTCTGATAAATGTCTGATCTAATGCCTGCTACAACTATGTCTGATGAATGTCTGATCTAATGCCAGCTACAACTATGTCTAATGAATGTCTGATGTAATGCCAGCTACAACTATGTCTGATGAATGTCTGATCTAATGCCGGCTTCAACCATGTCTGATGAATGTCTGATCTAATGCCAGCTACAACCATGCCTAATGAATGTCTGATCTAATGCCTGCTACAACTATGTCTGATTTAATGCCTGCTACAACCATGTCTGATGAATGTCTGATCTAATACCAGCCACAAACATGTCTGATAAATGTCTGATCTAATGCCTGCTACAACTATGTCTGGTGAATGTCTGATCTAATGCCAGCTACAACCATGTCTGATGAATGTCTGATCTAATGCCAGCTACAACCATGTCTGATGAATGTCTGATCTAATGCCAGCTACAACCATGTCTGATGAAGGTCTGATCTAATGCCAGCTACAACCATGTCTGATGAATGTCTGATCTAATGCCAGCTACAACCATGTCTGATGAATGTTTGATCTAATGCCAGCTACAACCATGTCTGATGAAGGTCTGATCTGATGCCAGATACAACTATGTCTGATCTAATGCCAGCTACAACCATGTCTAATAAATGTGTGATCTATTGCTGGCTACAACTATGTCTGATATAAAGCCAGCTACAACCATGTCTGATGAATGTCTGATCTATTGTCAGCTCAACTGTCTGTTGAATGTCTGATGTAGTGCTGGCTACAACCCTGTCAAATAAATTTTAGTCTGACCTAATGTTGGCTACAACCATGTCACATAAATCTGTCTGACCTAATGTCGGCTACAATCATGTCACATAAATTTCTGTCTGACCTCATGTTGGCTACAATCATGTCACATAAATGTTGATCTAGTGCTGGCTACAGTTCATCACACAATTCTGACACAGGTTAGATCAGCCCATAAAGCTCAGTAATTCACATTAGAACAAGATCAGCTCATTAATCCACATTAAAGCAAGATCAGCTCATTAAACTCATTAATCCACATTAGAACAAGATCAGCTCATTAAACTCATTAATCCACATTAGAACAAGATCAATTCATTTCATTAAGTAATTCAAATTAACACAACAGGATCAGCTCATTACACTCAGTAATTCCCATTAGAACAACATGACCAAGTCATTAAACTCAGTAATTCTTGTTAGAACAACATGACCAAGTTATTAAACTCAGTAAGTCCCATTAGAACAACATAACCAAGTCATCAAACTCAGTAATTCCCGTAAGAATAACATGACCAAGTCATTAAACTCAGTAATTCCCGTTAGAACAACATGACCAGGTCATTAAACTCAGTGATTCCCATGAGAACAACATGACCAGGTCATTAAACTGAGTAATTCCTGTTAGAACAACATGACCAGGTAATTAAACTCAGTAATTTCCATTAGAACAACATAACCAGGTCATTAAACTCAGTAATTCCCATTAGAACAACATAACCAGGTCATTCAACTCAGTAATTCCCGTCAGAACAACATGACCATGTCATTAAACTCAGTAATTTCCGTTAGAACAACATGACCAGGTCATTAAACTCAGTGATTCCCATTAGAACAACATGACCAGGTCATTAAACTCAGTAATTCCCATGAGAACAACATGACCAGGTCATTAAACTCAGTAATTCCTGTTAGAACAACATAACCAGGTCATTAAACTCAGTAATTCCCATGAGAACAACATGACCAGGTCATTAAACTCAGTAATTCCTGTTAGAACAACATGACCAGGTAATTAAACTCAGTAACTCCCATTAGAACAACATAACCAGGTCATTAAACTCAGTAATTCCCATTAGAACAACATAACCAGGTCATTAAACTCAGTAATTCCCATGAGAACAACATGACCAGGTCATTCAACTCCGTAATTCCCGTTAGAACAACATGACCAAGTCATTAAACTCAGTAATTCCCGTTAGAACAATGAGGTCATTAAACTCAGTAATTTCCGTTAGAACAACATGACCAGGTCATTAAACTCAGTGATTCCCATGAGAACAACATGACCAGGTCATTAAACTCAGTAATTCCCGTTAAAACAACATGACCAAGTCATTAAACTCAGTAATTCCCGTTAGAACAACATGACCAGGTCGTTAAACTCAGTAATTCCTGTTAGAACAACATGACCAAGTCATTAAACTCAGTAATTTCCATTAGAACAACATGACCAGGTCACTAAACTCAGTAATTCCTGTTAGAACAACATAACCAGATCATTAAACTCAGTATTTCCCATTAGAACAAAATGACCAGGTAATTAAACTCAGTAATTCCCATTAGAACAACATGAACAGGTCATTAAAAGCAGTAATTCCCATGAGAACAAGATAACCAGGTCATTAAACTCAGTAATTCCTGTTAGAACAACATAACCAGGTCATTAAACTCAGTAATTCCCATGAGAACAACATGACCAGGTCATTAAACTCAGTAATTCCTGTTAGAACAACATGACCAGGTAATTAAACTCAGTAACTCCCATTAGAACAACGTAACCAGGTCATTAAACTCAGTAATTCCCATTAGAACAACATAACCAGGTCATTAAACTCAGTAATTCCCATGAGAACAACATGACCAGGTCATTCAACTCCGTAATTCCCGTTAGAACAACATGACCAAGTCATTAAACTCAGTAATTCCCGTTAGAACAATGAGGTCATTAAACTCAGTAATTTCCGTTAGAACAACATGACCAGGTCATTAAACTCAGTGATTCCCATGAGAACAACATGACCAGGTCATTAAACTCAGTAATTCCCGTTAAAACAACATGACCAAGTCATTAAACTCAGTAATTCCCGTTAGAACAACATGACCAGGTCGTTAAACTCAGTAATTCCCATTAGAACAACATGAACAGGTCATTAAACTCAGTAATTTCCATTAGAACAACATGACCAGGTCATTAAACTCAGTAATTCCCATTAGAACAACATGACCAGATCATTAAACTCAGTATTTCCCATTAGAACAAAATGACCAGGTAATTAAACTCAGTAATTCCCATTAGAACAACATGAACAGGTCATTAAAAGCAGTAATTCCCGTTAGAACAACAACAAATTGCAGATGAATAATATGATTTGATGTCATGTATTGACAGGTGGACCCCAACACTGTACGAGCTCTTTGTGCCCAGCATGGCACACTGCTCAGTTTCTACACGGTGGCTCAAGGTCAGCTGGCCTTAGTGCAGTACAATAGCAGGGAGATAGCTTTTGGGGCCCAGCAACATCTCAACAATTTCCAGATGGGTACCTCTATCATCACAGCTGAGTTCATTGCTGAAACAGATGCCCAGCGCTTCACTGCTCAGATCCCACCTCCACAACCAACAGCCTTTCCTCCCATGAACACTAGTCCCTGGTCCCAAGCCCCACCTGCGACTCCGTTCCAGAATGCTGGAATGCGTGGTGGAGACCCGTGGAGCAGCAACTCCATGCTGTCCCAGCCCAGCTCCAAGTTTGCCTCAGCAGGCGAAAACTTGTGGGGCTTGTGGGATCGGTCCGATCACAACTTCAACCCTCTTAGCAACATCCTTGGAGGAGAGTCCATGTAGAGAGTCCACATGCATCACTTGCTGATCAACGTAGCCAGCCTCAGCCCCAAAGTTGTTGGTTTGTTCTTGCAAGTGTTGACTCTGCTGTAGTTTCTATCTCATCTTTGATTCATTGTCATTTCTGCAGATATACTCCAGTTATGTATGTGGGCTCAGTGTCAGAGAAGGGGTTTCACATAAGATAGCCTCTGATATGTTCAAGGAGTCCCATGATGTGTGCTTGGCAGCCACTGTTAGTTCTTGCTAATGAATCATCTGATGAGCCAATCTGTGACCTTGTATAATATAGTTTGTTTATCTGTTTATGTTTCGTATTTGGTCACATGTGGTATGTGGATTTTATCACCACATGTGTACTTATTTGAGTGGTGTGGTGTCAGCCAGCACCACACATGTACATATTTGATGAGATTTTGTGTACACCAGTGCTACATGTGTACATATTTGATGAAATGTGTACACCAGTGCTACATATGTACATTTGAAGTGATGTGGTGTACACCAGTGTCACATGTGTACATATTTGATGAGATGTGGTGAACACAGAGCCACATATGTACATATTTGATATGTGTACACCGGTGCCATATTTGTTGAGATGTGGTGTACACCAGTGCTACATGTGTACATATTTGATGTGTACACCAATGCTACATGTGAACATTTGAAGTGATGTGTACACTAGTGTCACAGGTGTACATATTTAATGAGATGTGGTGTACACCAGAGCCACATGTGTACATATTTAATGAGATGTGTACACCAGAGCCACATGTGTACATATTCGATGAGATGTGGTGTACACCAGAGCCACATGTGTACATATTTGATGAGATAGTGGTGTACACCAGAGCCACATGTGTACATATTTGATGAGGTGTGGTGTACACCAGAGCCACATGTGTACATATTTAATGAGATGTGGTGTTCACTAGGGCCACGTGTGTACATAGTTGATGAGGTTTCAACAGCTGGACATGGAGTAGTGCATCCTGTCAGTTTTTGAATGTGGTGTGTGTGTATGTTATCACCACATATCTGACATTGTCATCTCTGGGGGATTTACTTAGGCCTGTCCTTGATGTCCAGCATCCGTGTCTTTCAGAATTCCTGTGGTCCTATGTGACGCTGGGATGGCCAACCCTCAGATACTTGTTGATTGGAGGAGCCTTTTTTTGTATGTTCACTGAGAAAAGATGTTATAAATATCAAACTGTCAATGTTATTGTTTAACATGAATGCATTTCTACTACAGTGCATATATTATTATTATTATTATTATTGGTGTCTTGTTTGTGTATTTTGATATATTAAGTGTATAATTGTTTTTATGAATACAAAGACAAGAAAATCCACAAATAATAATCTGCAATGTTGCCTGCCATTGGCTGTTCTATCTAATTTATATATGACTATACTGCACAAAATGCTGCCTACATTGTTTCTCCTGTATAACTGATGAGCGTTTCTGCCATGTTTGATGCAGATATTGGTTTAAATTATTCCACAAGTTCGTTATAACCATCAATGTAATGTCTGTGAGATGACTGGCCCCAGGCAGGAGGATGGGATTCTGTGATAATCATGTCTCAGTGTGTGTATGTGTGTCTGCTGTCGTTTGAACACACTGGAGACACCTTGGTGCTGCAAGCAGGTAGAGTGTGTTCTACCACTTGTCCACGTTAGGATCACTTTATGCAACTAGCAGGTGTTGTTAGACAATTCATTGACTGCTTGTTTGGAGGTCTCAGACACTCATCTCAGATTGGAGGTCTCAGACACTAGCCCTTGAACATCTCAGATTGGACGTATCAGACACTAGCCCTTGATCATCTCAGATTGGAGGTCTCAGACACTAGCTCTTGATCATCTCAGATTGGAGGTCTCAGACACTAGCCCTTGATCATCTCAGATTGGCCGTATCAGACACTAGCCCTTGATCATCTCAGATTGGAGGTCTCAGACACTAGCTCTTGATCATCTCAGATTGGAGGTCTCAGACACTAGCCCTTGATCATCTCAGATTGGAGGTCTTGGACACTAGCCCTTGATCATCTCAGATTGGAGGTCTCAGCCACTAGCCCTTGATCATCTCAGATTGGAGGTCTCAGACACTAGCCCTTGATCATCTCAGATTTGTGTCATGTACACACTTGTGGTTCTGTGCATGCAAGATGATCCCTCATTGAGCAAACAGGCAGTCACCAGGCACTCTCAGCCCGTGCTGATATTTGATATTGATATTTATTCTCATCTGCATGACATGTTTGTGCTGCTACAGTCCAACACTGGCTCCAGTGTTGTTTGTAGAAAGGGTGACAGACAGACAGTCACAAACAGACAGCACAGAGTCTGGGCGGACAGTAAATGTGACAGACAGTTACACACTGACAGTACAGAGTCTGCGGTCAGTAAATGTGAAGGACAGTCGCACACTGACAGCACAGAGTCTGGGCAGACAGTGATGTGACAGTCATGCACTGACAGTACAGAGTCTTGGTGGATAGTAAACATGAAAGACAAAAACTAACAGACAGTCACACGCTGACAGCACAGAGTCTGGGTGGACAGTGATGTGACAGTCACACACTAACAGACAGTCACGCACTGACAGCACAGAGACTGGGTGGACAGTAAATGTGGCCGACAGTCACTCATTGACAGCACATAGTCTGGATGGACAGTTAATGTGGCAAGTCACACACTGACAGTACAGAGTCTGGGTGGACAGTAATGTGGCAAACAGTCACATGGACAGCATGTGGCCAGAAAAGAAATCAAAAGCAGTTATAGACGTGTGTGTGAAATAACAGTGATGAAATGTTATGTCTGCTTGCAGCCAGCACATGCTTGTCACAACATTGATTGCTCTGCTACAGTGTGAACAAATACATGACCTCCTCACTTGTGAACTCAGCTGCTGGAGATCTGTGTTGTCTTCCCAGCTGACATCCAGTGTGACTGTCTGCAGCTGTGTGATCAAATATATGACCTCCTCACCTGTGAACTCAGCTGCTGGAGATCTGTGTTGTCTGCCCAGCTGACATCCAGTGTGACTGTCTGCAGCTGTGTGAACAAATATATGACCTCCTCACCTGTGAACTCAGCTGCTGGAGATCTGTGTTGTCTGCCCAGCTGACATCCAGTGTGACTGTCTGCAGCTGTGTGAACAAATATATCACCTGTGAACTCAGCTGCTGGAGATCTGTGTTGTCTGCCCAGCTGACATCCAGTGTGACTGTCTGCAGCTGTGTGAACCAATACATGACCTCCTCACTTGTGAACTCAGCTGCTGGAGATCTGTGTTGTCTGCCCAGCTGACATCCAGTGTGACTGTCTGCAGCTGTGTGAACCAATATATCACCTGTGAACTCAGCTGCTGGAGATCTCTGTTGTCTGCCCAGCTGACATCCAGTGTGACTGTCTGCAGCTGTGTGAACAAATATATCACCTCCTCACTTGTGAACTCAGCTGCTGGAGATCTCTGTTTCTGTTGTCTGCCCAGCTGACATCCAGTGTGACTGTCTGCAGCTGTGTGAACCAATACATGACCTCCTCACTTGTGAACTCAGCTGCTGGAGATGTCTGCCCAGCTGCCATCCAGTGTGACTGTCTGCAGCTATGTGAACCAATACATGACCTCCTCACTTGTGAACTCAGCTGTTGGAGATCTGTGTTGTCTGCCCAGCTGACATCCAGTGTGACTGTCTGCAGCTGTGTGAACCAATATATGACCTCCTCACTTGTGAACTCAGCTGCTGATGTCTGCCCAGCTGACACCAGTGTGACTGTCTGCAGCTATGTGAACCAATACATGACCTCCTCACTTGTGAACTCAGCTGTTGGAGATCTGTGTTGTCTGCCCAGCTGACATCCAGTGTGACTGTCTGCAGCTGTGTGAACCAATACATGACCTCCTCACTTGTGAACTCAGCTGTTGGAGATCTGTGTTGTCTGCCCAGCTGACATCCAGTGTGACCGTATTCAGCTGTGTCTTCTCTAAATTGATTAATTGCTGGTGTCAGGGGACATGTTTCACTACATCCTGCCATTTGTTGATACAATCCGGCCATGGCGTTATCACTGATTGATGATAACCTACACATGATGATTGTGATTACACTGTTGTTTTATTGGATTTGATCCCCAATAACAACCTGTACCTGGATTCAGTGACCATGGCTGACATAACCAGGTGTTGTTTGGGTGGTTCTGGGAGGGAGGGTGCCTGTTTAGTCGTGGGTGGGAAGTGTTGGCTATCCTAGTTAACCAAACTGATGAATTGTAACTGAGCTTAGTGGCAGTGTTATAATGTGTGCGGTTAGCGATGATTAGCTGCAGCGTATGGTGTGTTCACATGCACACTTGCCCCTCCACCTGCAGATGTGGACTAGTGTTGCTCACAATATCTCTGCACTGTCTCCATAATTTGAATTGATGTAGATCTAAACCTAAACATCTTCCTGGAGTGTATTGATGTGGATTTAACACTTTCGCCCAGAGAGAGCTTGAAAAAATGGGTCGTGACTGCGGAAATTCCCAGCAAAAACCCTTTAAAAACAAATGTCTTTTTGTTACACTAGTGACTGATAAACATTTTTTTTAAATTTATTTATTTATGTACATGTTAGAAATCTGTTTCAAAAATATATAAAGATAAATAAAAGGAGTAATAATAAAAGACAATGAGAGTGAAGCATTGAGTGTCATACATTTGCTTGGGCCTAAAACATATGTCGGGTGCCTTGTGCCATAACCTTGTTGTCTTTGCACCTGTGCTGCTTTAAGGAGGTCAGGATATGAATATATTTACTAAAAATAGCAGTGGGGGGTTTCCCTATGAACCAGATGGTTATAAAGCCAAGTTAAGACTGAAAAAGATTTGTTAGCTTGGCTTTATAAAAGCCATTTAGTTCCCGGTGCTAGTTTTAGTAAATATATTTATATCCTGACCTCCTTAAAGCCGCACCGGTGCAAAGACAGCCAGTTGCAGTAAGTTT